TAAGTTAGAGGCCAACATATAGTTTCCCCATCATTTCATGGCTCCTTGTATGTGAAGCATTTGCAGTACAGCATAACTCAACAACCTGTTTACTTGTATTTAGAATGGATTTGGACTCATGATGGCCAGCACATGAATGTTGGTCATTGATATGTATCTACCTGGTTGATATTACTGAGGAATGAGACAACAGCTAGTCTCTGTAGTGAAGACCAGGTAGACTCCAAGCTATACTTCCAGTCATCCATGGTAGACATCTTGCAACACTGACCAGCCAAGAGCCATCATAGACCCTGTCCAGAAACTGTCCCTGATTGCAGAGTGTTTTCAGGGCTCTTAAAGAACCAGAAAGTACATCCAGGAACAGCATCTGATTTCAAAATACAGGAAGGATCCAAGCCAAACTACAGAAGCTGACACCAACTGCAGCCTGTCCATGGTTGCAACTAGTTGACCTAACTAATGGCCCTAGTTATACTAAATAGCAAAGGTCTGTTTACCAACAGTGAATTCCTATAAATGACAGAGGAGTTCATTATTAGTGCACAGGCACCCAGGTGTAAGAGCATAAGCATTAAAATCAGAGAAGTAAAACATTACACAGAACAATGGTGAGGCTTAAGAAGAAAACAAAAAAGAAAGGGAGACCTATAAATCCCATGATGAATAATTCCCAGAGTGTTTTGAATTAAGTTACAGAAGTATAAGAAACCACCAACAAAACCTGGGTAGATATCTACTGCCCATGGATAGTCCAGAACAGTCAGAAGATCAGGTGAAGGTCACACAAGCATGAAGAACAGATAGGCTGCCCTCCAGCATGTGTAACTCTCCAACTCAGTAGGTTCAGCTTCCATAGACTCAGTATGCTGCCTCTCCCTCTTTTTTCTTTTTTTTCCTGTTAAGAAATTTTCTATTCATTTTACATTCCAACCAAAGATCACCCTGTCCTTCCTCCTTCAGCTCCCCAGCCTTCCCCTCAACCACCCCACATTCCCACCTCCTCCAAGGCAAGGCCTCCCATAGGGAGTCAGCAGAGCCTGCTACATTCACTTGAGGCAAGCCCAAGCCCAGCTCCCTGCTCCAAGTCTGTGCAGGGTGTCCCACCATAGGCACTGGTCTTCAAAAAACCTGCTCATACACCAGGGACAGATCCAGATCTTACTGCTAGGGGTGCCCCTAAACAGTTCAAGCTAAACAACTGTCTCAGCTAAGCAGAGAGCCAAGTACAGTGCCTTGGGGCTCCACAGCTATTGGTCATGAGTTCCCACTAGTTTGACCTGGACATTTCTGTATGTTTTTCTAACATGATTTTGATGTCCCTCGCTCATAGAATCTCTCCTCTCTTTCATTGACTGGACCCCTGGAGCTCAGCTTGGTGCCCATGCGTGGATCTCTGCATCTGCTTCCACCAGTTACTGGATGAGGGTTCTAGGATGACATTTAGGGTATTCACCAATCTGATTACCAGAGTAGGCCATTTCAACTGCCT